ATTTTTTTTTGGGGGGGGGGATAGGGCTGAATAATTGTTTTTTTTTTGGGGGGGGGGAGAGAATGACGAGAGAGTTTTTTTTTTGGGGGGGGGGTCATTTTTTAATTCAACTTTTTTTTTTGGGGGGGGGGGGGAATATTTCTCCTAATTTTTTTTTTGGGGGGGGGGTCAATTAAGAAAATTTGTTTTTTTTTTGGGGGGGGGGAAACACTTATAAAAAAAATTTTTTTTTGGGGGGGGGGGCCTCCCAAAAATTGAACTTTTTTTTTGGGGGGGGGGACAAGAATAAGGCGATTATTTTTTTTTGGGGGGGGGGATAACTTACAGTCGAAGTTTTTTTTTTGGGGGGGGGGCAAGGAATAATCTTCATCTTTTTTTTTGGGGGGGGGGGTTTTCCGCAAAATAAACTTTTTTTTTGGGGGGGGGGTCTTGCCGAACGAGAAATTTTTTTTTTGGGGGGGGGGGGAAAATGAACCCTCAAATTTTTTTTTGGGGGGGGGGGATCGATTCTGTTTACAGTTTTTTTTTGGGGGGGGGGGGAAAGAAACAGAGAAGCTTTTTTTTTGGGGGGGGGGCCGATATCACGACCACTATTTTTTTTTGGGGGGGGGGTACAACATAAACAACCTCTTTTTTTTTGGGGGGGGGGTCTCTCAGTATTAACCGTTTTTTTTTTGGGGGGGGGGACCTAATTTCATAGAAAATTTTTTTTTGGGGGGGGGGGACAACATTTCGGCTGTTTTTTTTTTTGGGGGGGGGGGAATATATTCCATTGTAATTTTTTTTTGGGGGGGGGGAGGAAGTTCGTAATATATTTTTTTTTTGGGGGGGGGGCACATTAGTAGAAGTTTATTTTTTTTTGGGGGGGGGGAGCATTTTCTCCATCATTTTTTTTTTTGGGGGGGGGGGAAACCATTAAAATGATTTTTTTTTTTGGGGGGGGGGCGAATCCGCACAAAGAAATTTTTTTTTGGGGGGGGGGTCGGCCCACCCCGTCATTTTTTTTTTTGGGGGGGGGGTTAGCTTCTACAAGAAACTTTTTTTTTGGGGGGGGGGAACACGAGCTTGTAACAATTTTTTTTTGGGGGGGGGGCAGACAAGAAGACTATCCTTTTTTTTTGGGGGGGGGGGAAATTTGAACGCTAGCTTTTTTTTTTGGGGGGGGGGGTCGCTTGGAGATGAAAGTTTTTTTTTGGGGGGGGGGCTATCATTTCGCTTCACCTTTTTTTTTGGGGGGGGGGATCAATATATACAACCTCTTTTTTTTTGGGGGGGGGGAGGTGTATAATAAGAACTTTTTTTTTTGGGGGGGGGGCGCCGTTTGAAGTTTAACTTTTTTTTTGGGGGGGGGGTTTCACTCACCCCCAGCGTTTTTTTTTGGGGGGGGGGTTTTAAACTGCGTGCAATTTTTTTTTTGGGGGGGGGGATCTTTTGACTCTTCGTATTTTTTTTTGGGGGGGGGGTTGATCACTGCTCATCACTTTTTTTTTGGGGGGGGGGAGAAAATACTGTTCATCTTTTTTTTTTGGGGGGGGGGATCTAGCTTTTTTTTTTATTTTTTTTTGGGGGGGGGGCGTGTTAAGAGTTTTTAATTTTTTTTTGGGGGGGGGGCAAACTACATAACGGAATTTTTTTTTTGGGGGGGGGGTTGAAAATTCTCCCCACCTTTTTTTTTGGGGGGGGGGTCTCTAAAGAGGGACAAATTTTTTTTTGGGGGGGGGGTTTTCTAAACCGGCCAACTTTTTTTTTGGGGGGGGGGATGTGGACTGTTATTTCTTTTTTTTTTGGGGGGGGGGTTAAACAGAAATATGAAATTTTTTTTTGGGGGGGGGGCGGCATCCTGAGCAGCAATTTTTTTTTGGGGGGGGGGTTCATTGTTTGGCTTGTGTTTTTTTTTGGGGGGGGGGAAGGCTTTGAGTATTATTTTTTTTTTTGGGGGGGGGGGCAACGGGCGTTAAATAATTTTTTTTTGGGGGGGGGGCTAAGGTAAGATCTCATTTTTTTTTTTGGGGGGGGGGTTTTTTCTTTAACACAAATTTTTTTTTGGGGGGGGGGAAACAGCTTTATATTTTCTTTTTTTTTGGGGGGGGGGTGTCGTTTAGGTCAAATATTTTTTTTTGGGGGGGGGGAGGAAAGATTACCCTCTGTTTTTTTTTGGGGGGGGGGTGAAGTATTCTTGGCATATTTTTTTTTGGGGGGGGGGAAAATCACAGCAGCACATTTTTTTTTTGGGGGGGGGGTTAACGTGTAGAAGGAAATTTTTTTTTGGGGGGGGGGCCCAGAGTAAATATCAATTTTTTTTTTGGGGGGGGGGTAAGTGACATCCGATAAATTTTTTTTTGGGGGGGGGGTAAGTGCATGTTTTTCAATTTTTTTTTGGGGGGGGGGCTCTTCACAACCATCTAGTTTTTTTTTGGGGGGGGGGACAATACTGTCATTTTTTTTTTTTTTTGGGGGGGGGGCATTACTATTTCCAACTGTTTTTTTTTGGGGGGGGGGACAACAGTCTGAACAAATTTTTTTTTTGGGGGGGGGGAAACACTGTTTAACATCATTTTTTTTTGGGGGGGGGGACTGATCCTAGTAATCTTTTTTTTTTTGGGGGGGGGGTCAGCCCCTAATTCCCTGTTTTTTTTTGGGGGGGGGGTTTACTTTAGGGCAGTTCTTTTTTTTTGGGGGGGGGGTCTCCTGAAAACATTACTTTTTTTTTTGGGGGGGGGGAATATAAACTTGGTCTCCTTTTTTTTTGGGGGGGGGGCACTACCAAAGATTAGAATTTTTT